ATCCTACCCAATGAGCTACTGGCGCTGCCCCTCATTATTATTCTTTTTTTTTTTTTTTTTTGCAGTTTTTGGCCAGGGCTGGGTTTGAACCTCTGGTATATGGGGCCAGCGCCCCACTCCTTTGAGCCACAAGCACTGCCCCTCATTATTATTCTTATATTAGAAATTTAGTAGCTGCTTAAAATCCTAAAATCATTAGGACAGTTTCTAAGTGTGTATATTTTTCCTGGCAAAAGAATTCTCGGCTTCTAATTCTCAAAAGGCTTTGTGACCCAAAACTTTTTTGAAACCAATGAGCAAGAGAGAGAACAAGAATATGTCCAATTATCAGGCACAAACATGTAAGCCCTGCTTCCCCAACATCCCTCCCCCAAAACCTCTACATTCAGAACTAAGGAAATGTGGCCTGAATCAAGAGAGACAGTGTGTGAACACAAAGCAGTATGATGAAGTGGTTAAAAACACCAACACTCAGTTGTGGCCTCTGGTCTTAGCACTGTTATTTATTAGGGGTGATCACAGCCCCTACATCACACCACTCCTATGAATGTGGAGATCATGCAGGTCAAACACCCTAGCCAACTCCTGGCAAAGAGAAGATGCTTAAAACTCATTTAGCTCTCTTCTCTCAATGGTTTCTCATCTCCGACAGGAACAGCCTGTTTGGAATTCTATGATCTTCCTGTTTGTCTTCCTCCAGATTCACAGGGATGTGGTTCGGATTCAGTGATTATATGTACAGAACAGACTCAAAAAGAACACAGCCAGCATTCCAGAATGGTACTTACACTGGCCACTTATTTCCCCTGCCTACACTTCAGTTTCCCCCTCTTTAAAATGCAGTTAATTGACTTAGTTGTTCTTCCAGGACACCTTCCAGCCCTGAGCCCACTGACTTCAGGAGGCAGGAGAAACAGCAATGATTCATTCTGTTCCAACTGAGGAAACTAGGGCCCGAAAGTGGAAGCAACCTACAGAGGCCACTCACTGATTCCTGTGGTCATCTTAGACCTTGTCCTTCTTGGGTCTCCTTTCTACTCTGCCTAGGAGCACAGGGATTATGCTGTCCATTTTCCAAGTAAGGAAGCTGAGGCCCAGAAGAGAAAGTTACTCAACCCATTGCCAGCTGGCTCCAGAGCAGAATCTGGACTCTGGGACTCCAGGCTCCTAATAAATAAGTATAGGGGCAGAGCAGGATCACCTGTAGGACCACAGAGATGGTCTTCTCGCCTGCCTTGGCCGCCCGCCATTTTCGGTAAGTGTCTGCCTTGAGAAGGTTTTCTGCACAGTGAGTCTGGAAACAAGAGTGGGAAAGGAAAATTAGGGCACAGAGATGAGAGGTAGGCCTCCAGCTCTCAGATCATTTCAAATCCTCCCAACCCTTCTGCAGTTCTCCAGATTTAAACGTCCCTGTTAATCTCGCCCCCGCCCCGCACTCCGTCTTAAATTTCCCGGAAAATACTTTCCCCTGGAAATTCACATATGGGCTCCCCTATTCCTCCTTTTCTCTCCGGAAGTTCCACAGACGCCGGAAGTTCCCAGATTCCACAGCTCTCTCAGAATTCACTTTTAACCTCCTGGAAATCCCCCATGACCCTCCTTACACTTCGGCGAAGAACCCCAAAACTTCTTTTAGTGCTCTCTCATTAATTCCCTTATGCCTTCTGACCTCCCGCACGCCGGTCCCTCACCGAGTCCTGGCTGCTACAGGACACGACGTGGCGAAGGCGGATCTCGGGCATGTCAAAGTGGTGGGCTTCTTCTAGCCCAAAGGAAGAGGAAGGGTCTGGATTTGGGGCGGGGGGGCAGAGAGAAGGGGCGCCCTGCGCGGGCTTCAGTGCGCAAGCGCGCGGGGCTCGGGCCTTTCAAAACGCGGCGCGCGGGGGCTCGCGTCGACACCGCGCATGCCCAATCCAACCTCTCGGTGGAGGTGGGCAGTGAAGCGCTGTATTCCCTAGCAACGAGCTTTTTCTTCAGCCCCGCCTCTCTTTGGCTCCACCATTCTCTAGCCCTTGCTCCAGATGACGTCTACACCCAGCATTCTGGGCGCCTAGCAACAGGAGCGGTCTCCGGGATTGGTGGCTAGAAGAAACTCGCCATTCTCATTGGACAACAGAGTCACCAACCAAACTGAACCCTGGAAAGTAGGAGGAATGCAAACCTGAGTGAATTTTCGCAGGGAACCCAAATCTGGCTGCGGCACTGTCCTCTCCCCCTGTCTCCTGCTGCTACACTCTTCCCCATCCTCCTCTATGCCGTCCCCCTCCCCCCCAAAATCTCAGATCTCACTCAGCCTTATGCCTGAGGCCAAGAGAGAGTGAGTCAAGGCCCTTATATAAAACACAAAGCATGAGCCCAAACCTCACACTCACACACTCCCCGAGCCTAGGGTGCGTCCAGAAATGCCTCAGTTTCCCAATATATGACCTGCAGGCATCTGTCTCCTACCACGCCTGCTTCTGAGCGCTGACAGGCTCCCCTCTGTTCGGTCCCCTTGAGACAAGGGTGCAGCCTCAGCCGGGTCGGAGCTGAGACAGCTTAGACACAGAAGTGTGAGCCAAGCACGTGAAAGAGAAAGGAAGGGAGACAAGGCACCCAGGCCCTGCAAGACGAGTCTGGACATGCTGGACGCTCCCAGATAGGGGCCCACCCACACTGCCATGCTGGGCGCCTCTTTGAGAAGAAAGAAGGATTGGAGATCCCAGTCTTGCAGTCACTCTACACCTTCGGGGAATCAAGTGACCCGACTCTGACCTTGGTCTTCCATCAAATAAATAAATGAAAGATGTGGTGGGAAGGTGAGAAAATAAGGAAGTGACCTTCTTGGACCTGATGGAAAAGGGAGTGGAAGTCTGGACTCCTGGGTCTCTCGTGGAGGAGGAGCCTGGGCACAAGATGCCTAGGTCCCTTTTGGATTCAGGTTTAGCCTTCCCAACTAGGAGGCCACAGAGGACTGCCCTGGGTTCTGACCTCAGCTATTTCTCACCTTGGGGTGAAGGTGGGTCTGGACCCGCCCCTCCTCAGCTTCCTATAAGGGCTGGGGACCCAGGATTGCAGGTTCACACACCATGAGGTCCTCCACAAGACCAGGGACCTTTCTGCTGGCCTTCATGCTGCTCTGCGCCCTCCTGGGTCTTGGTGAGTGACAAGGGACCCGGACTCCTTGCTGGGACCTCAAGAAAGGAAGGACTCTGAGAGAGCACTCAGCAAGGTCCTCAGGGGTTTCGGGAACGGGAGGCATCCTGGCAATTCGGGTTCATGGAGGAGGCAGAGAGGTAAAGGAAGAGAAAGCCTAGAGCTCCAAGGGAAGAAAAGCTCATGTGAGTGGATCCCTGAGAGAGGGGGTTTGGTGGGCTCTGAATCCTCTGTCTCCCAGGCAGAGTCCCAAAATAAGACACCTGAATTCTAGAAAATCAGATGACAGCATGACTAGAAGGGAAATCTTTTTTTTAATAATAATAAAAAAATAGCCAGTATGGCAAGATCAGCTGGGCAGTATAGCAGGTCTCTGTCTCTAAAGTAATAACAACAACAATAATAATAAAGGGGGGAGATATTTCCTTTCTCTCTGCACTCTAAGGAGTTCATGCCCCAGTTCCCTCTTGGACATGGGAGTCCAGGAAAACCTCACTTTACCCAGGACCCAGGAATCTGGGCTCCTAGTTGCCTCCTCTCACAGGACCAAGGAGTCTATGCCCTCAGCCCTCCTGGTCCTCTCCATCCCTCCTTGACATGGGATGCAGACCCCAGCCCGAGGCACTCCTGCTGAGCTATGTGGTATGCATGACCTATGTGGTACTTGCAAGGGGGAGCATCCCACACCCAAGAACCAGCTGGACTTGAAGTTTTACAAAAGTCCATGAAAACCTTCACCTTGACCCCTCCCTGCCCCTGGGCTTTCTCAGAGAACCCTGGCGTCCAAAATCCTCAACCATGTAATTAGGGAAACAGGCTTCTTGGTGGAGTTGCTTCCGGCTCCTAAAAGCAGCTTTGAGGGCATCACCACCACTTCCTTATCAGGCTCTGGACAGTTCCCTGGAGAGTGGTCTATATCCCACCAGTAAAAAGTCAGGAGATACTAGTTCTTTCCTTCCTCAGGACCCCAAAGTCCATCTCTCCTGCCCTCATCTCCCCCTGGTCTCCAAAGTCAAAGTCCCAAGACTATGTGGTCCGTGACTACAGCCCACCCTCTACACTGCAGGGTGCCCACTAAGCTGTGAGGTGTGTAAGGGCTCTGGGCCCACGTGCAGTGGAAAAATGAAGACATGTGATGCTGGCAAGGACGCATGCGTGGTCCTCGTGGGGGAGTCCAGTACAAGTATGAGGGCGTGAGTGGGGGAGGGGCAGGTGTACCATCCAAGTAGAAGATACCACAGGGAGGGGGAGGGGGTACGAAACCATTATGGTTCTCAGGATTGGTTGGGTGTGGGAAGAAAATCAGAGGAGAGCAAGAAAGTGTGAAAGACTCCAGATGGAGGGAAGAATTAAATGCTGGGCACAGTGATTCAGGCCTTTAATCCCAATACTTTGGAAGGCTGTGGCAGGAGGATCACTTGAGGCCAGGAATTTGAGGTTGCAATGAGACCATAGATGCAAGGTCTGAGGAGTGACAATGGAAGAATCTGAGAATGTGGTGCAGGGAGCATCCTGGGGTTTGTAGGAAGAGATTAAGGTGCAGAGAGGGAAGGGCAAAGTGATGAAGGCTGGAAGAGAACATGTCACACAGCCTTGGCGGAGGCCATAATTAGCCTGAAAAAGAGGATGGCTGTGGAGTGGAATGGAAGGGACCACATCAGGAAGTTGCAGGTTTGGGGAGATGTAGGATTAAGAGAGACCCTGAGACATGAACAGGAGGCCAGGAAGTGGTCAGCCAGAGCCCCCTCTTCCTGTTCCCTACTTGGCAGAGGGCCAACAGTCGGTGAACACCTACAAGGCCTGCATCAAGTTCACTGATTGCTACTCCGGTTTTGTGTCCACCACCATGAGCCCCAAGGACTACATGGTATCCAACGCGCACTGTTGCCAGAGTGATGGCTGTAATCGTGATTCTGTTCCGCGTAAGTGCCAGCTCAGCTGCACCCCAGGAGCCTGTGGTGTGTGCTCTGGCTCACCACCAGCCAGTGCTGTAACATCGGGCATGCATCTTGGTTGCTCTGAGTCTCTGTTTTCTTACTGGTAAAATGTAGTGTCCATTAGTAACCCTGGTGTTCTCCAGGGTTCTGGGGTGTTTGGGAAGGGTTTATACATCCCTATACACCTTATACTTTATCCTCACCCTCAGCTCCCCAGAACAATCGTACTGAAAATGGCCTGCTTTGCCCTGCCTGCATTGCACCCTTCCAGGAGACGTGCCCAGGGACCCAGGCAGCCCGCTGTGTTGGCCAGGAAACCCACTGCATCTACTTTGCTGGCAACGTGCAGGCTGGTGAGGCTGCCTAGATCTCTGGAGCAGGGGATGGGGTCCCTAGAACTAGAGGCCCAAACTTCTAGATTCCAGAGGAAGAGGGGGCTCTAGAGAAGTGGGTAAGGAGGTGATTGGAGCCAGGGTTCCTGGGTCATGAGGAAAAAGGGGTTGGAGTCCCTGATTCTCATCTGAAATCTCCTTCACAGGTATCTTCAACACCAAATTTGCTACTCGTGGCTGTGCCACAGAGAGTGCCTGTTACACGAAGGTTGGGGCTGAGGTACCCTCAGCCTCCTATCTCTACTTCCTCCGCAGAGCAGACTGCCTACCAGCCCCCCAGCCCCCTGGCAGGGCTGAGTGAAGGACTGTGGAGTATGTATGTGGCCTGAAGTCCCCATTTGTCTGTAGTCTGCAGCACCCCATGTTCCTATAAATTAAATAAGAGAGCAAGCTTGAGTCCTTGTGATGTGATGTATCCTGGGAAGCGGGGGTGCAGAGAGTATGGGTCTTTTTTTTTTTTTTTAGACAGAGCCTCAAGCTATCCCCCTGGGTAGAGTGCCATGGCATCACAGCTCACAGCAACCTCCAACTCCTGGGCTCAAGTGAGTCTCCTGCCTCAGCCTCCCAAGTAGCTGGGACTACAGGCGCCTGCCACAATGCCTGGCCATTTTTTGGTTGCAGCCATCATTGTTGTTTGGTGGGCCCGGGCTGGGGATTCGAACCTGCCACCTTAGGTGTATGTGGCTGGCGCCTTAGCCACTTGAGCCACAGGCACCGAGCCGAGAGTAGGGGTCTTAATCTTCTTTTCTTTTCTTTGTTTTGTCTTTGAGATAGAGTCTCACTCTGTTACCCTGGGTAAAGTATGTGGGATCGTAGCTCACAGCAACTTCAAACTCCTGCATTTAAATGATCTTATTGCTTCATCCTCCGGAGTAGCTGGAGCTATGTCTGGCTAGTTTTTCTATTTTTATTAGTAGAGACAGGGTCTTGCTCTTGCTCGGGCTGGTCTCGAACTCTTGAACTTAGGCAATCCGCCCACCTTGGCCTCCCAGAGTGTTACAATTACAGGTGTATGCCACCTCACCTAGCCATAATGTTTTCAAATCCCCTTTTTTCAAGGAAGTGAGGGAATACTCTGCCTTCTATTAAGGGATTACTCTTTGCCAGGTCCCTATGGTAAGTGTTTTCCATACTATATCTCATTTCATGATCACAACTCTATGAAGTTGATATTGTCCCCATTTTATAGATGAAAAAACTGGGGCACACTGTATAGGTGTCACTCGCCTTGGCCTTGTGTCAAATAGCTAGGAAAGGTCAGTGCTCTGATTGCAATCTCAGTGTGATAGACTCCAGGTCCTGAATCACCTTTCCTGATTAACCTCTTTTTGCTCCATTTTTCATGTCTGCAACATGTAGACATTAATAGTTATAGCAGTGTTTTCCAACCTT